TAGTATCAAGTTTTATAAAAATCTGTCAATTTCCTAAATTTTCAATATTTTTGATCTTTATATTAGATCTGACATTTTCAGTTTTTGAAATCCGACTTAAGATTTGTATTTAGCTGGCCGTAAAACTCTTTGTTCAAATTTTATAAAACTCCCTTTTAAAAATTTTTCAAATTCTTAGTTGCCATATTAGATCCGTCATTTTGAATTTTTGAAATGCGACTTCAGATTCGTTATTAGCAACCCGAAAAAGTCCTTGATACCAAGTATTATAAAAATTCGTTAATTTCTAAAAATTTTCAAAATGTTTTGGTAATCATATTGAATCCGCCATTTTGTATTTTCGAAAGATAACATTAGACTCGTATACAGTAACCCGAAAAACCCTTTGATACCAAGTTTTATAAAAATCCGTTAATTTCTTAAATTTTTTAAATTTTTGGCGGCCATATTGGATCCGCCATTTTAGTTTAGACTCATGTGACAGTGCACAGATAAACAGAGTACTCGAAAGTGTTAAATAGAAAAAAAAACGTCGAATGAATAATCGCTACACTTGAATAATTACCGTTTTTATTAATTTTTTTCGGTTTTCTGAAACTTTAAGTATGATCCAATTGAATTTGATAATTTTGCCACGCACCATTGGAAAGCTTACATTTTTCTGTAAATTTTAAGATTTTTTCAAAAATTTTAGATCAAATAGAAAATGGGCAGCATGGGTGTAAAGTTGAGAAAGAATGCCCCATATATATTTATTTATTTTATTTACGAAGAGATATTCATAATATATCAATAGTTTAGATGCATAATATATAATTATCTTACATATATCAGCAACAGAATAAGGAAGCAAGTCAATCACTATACCTCTACCGTATAGGATTTTACTAGAATTAATCAAGTGCTCTACATCTTATGTTCTAAGCACGTTTACGATTCGTTAATCCTAGTCTAATTCTGTACAGTGGAGATATAGTAAATATTGGCAAGAAAATCTATTCCATACAGCACAGAATATTGCAACAATATCACTATATCGTAATAATATTGCTGAAATATTATGTGTTGTATAGAATTAGATATATACCTTACCATTGGAAACTTTACAACTTGTTGTTGATTCAGTGACAAAATCTTGGCAGACACTACTTGACCGTACTTTCTCAATATCACTAGTTTTTCTCTCAATGCTAGGGTGCAGGTTTGTGTTATTTTCTAAAAGTAAATGACCAATTAAAATAATTCTTGAAAATTAATGAATTCTTTGAATATTTCTTTAACTAAATCTGTTAACATTTCAGTCGCTTTGAACATTATAAAACGGAGATTATAAATGAAAATTCTATACCTGCAATATTTGTGACTGAATTATCATTTTGAAGGACATCACATTGGGAAGATGATATACCTATAAAGTTCCAATAATAGACTTATATTTTTTAGTTCAATTAGTTCTTTTTATATGTTATATCACACTTACATTTTGGTCCATTTAATGATGGTACAGACTTTGGCCACAATAATCTTCGTGGATAGATCGATTTAAAATTTTTTTCTAAAAAATGATTGCTACACACTGTGTAGGTTTTTCTTTTATACATATCATTTTCTAGTATATCCAATCAATCTGCAAACTCCACCCATTTCTTAGATCTTTAAAACATTAAAAATACATGTATTATATGGTCTACACTGGTCTGGTCAAGCAGTAGATATTAGCTGTTACACATTTTAAAAATTAAGTTAATTAACCTATAATTTAAAAATAACTTACATAGAAGGATCTTTTGGCAAAGTCATAAATGACAAACTTGAATTGTCGAACTTGTTAACATCACAATTTTTGACAATACAATACGAACCGCGACTTATTTTTCTAGATTTCTAGTATTGATATAAACACGTTCTTTGGCACATGGGCAACTCTCCTGTCTTACTTCATATTTTATATCTAAGATGGCCGATCAAACAGTTAACATTTGAAATGTTAGATGGCGCGCATTTTAACTGGTCGCAAGCCTTCCATTCTTTTTCTCCTTATTCTTTGAATAAGACTTAAAACTAGATAATGAATTATCGTATGTACAACTTACATAATATCCTAAAAGTCTTGTAATGTTGGTAGGCGTAAGTTGTATAATCTTGTCCCTCCTTCTTCGCGAGCGTGCATTCCAGATTGGCGTACACTACAAACGGGAGCCGTTCCTTCCGGTTGTAGTTGCGGAACGTCAGCCACTTGTTGTCTTCGTTAGGAAGAATGACGGCGCAGTTGTTCATCTTCCCGCAGTTGACGCTGTGGACTGACAATTTCTCGCTCGTCCGAAAGTAGTGTAGACACCTGTAATAATTTGTATAATTAATACTGCGAATACAGTTTCAAATTATTCTATAAATGTGTTTTTACTTACCAATCACAAATGTACTTTTTGCCATTTTGCTTGCTCAGTTGCGAGCTCACCAACCGCGATAAATCCTTGATATATACAAAGTGTGCCTCATTGTTTCTAGGCACGTAGAGCAGGTTGACATGCTTCTCTTTTTTATCGTCGGTGAGACGCAGAGGAATGATCGAACGGCCTTCGGTTGTGAATACGTTTACGGAGATGGTGTTTAATTTTTCAAATTTTGAAATATGTAGAAGCGTCATGGGGAACTCGATACTACACAGATTCAGTACCGTTGAATAGTGTGGATATTTGATTGTTCTTTCTGAGTGTTTTGCCGCTGGATGTAAAGCGGCGACGACTGCCCACGCAAAACACGCATTATCTCCAGATTGCACGTTGACCACCGCCCGTTTGAGCATAATTTCTCGCGGTAACTTGATGTGGCATCCTGCGTGCAGAGGATTGAACTTGTTGACGTTGATGGTGAGATCCTAGATACGTGACAACGCCCATCCGTTGTCGCGTTCTTGAAATTCCTCCAGAGACGTCAGGATGCCGTCAACCACATGCTTCGTGTACTACTCGTTTAGATCAGATGTGGGAAATAGCTCACGGTTTTTTGTGGCGATGGTCTTTATGGTAGTCTTGTCGCCTGCGATGAATTCTCCGTTGAACATGGTGTTGCTTTTGACACTTCCATGTTCCACCATGACGCAGTGGATCCGCTCGATGACCGTACTTCTTATTTGTTCCAAAAATTGACGGGGTTCGATATATTCCAGATTGATTATTGCGCCTGTTAGTATACGGTTTCTGAAGACCGTCTCGATTTCTTTCTAACTAAATCCTTTTTTTATTCCGTATCTAGCACCGATGAGCACGAATCGCTTGTTTAGGGTGTTCCTTACACCCTCCAGGCGTGTTATTTGCGCCACCAAGGAATTGATTAGTCCGGTGCGTTGTTTCTTGCGACATTTTTCCCTCAATGAATTGAGGTACTCGTCGCACTCGTAGTTCTATGGGAGGAACTCTCCCAACGTTTTAATATTTGCTGCACGAACGGTGAGATCACGCTCCATCTCCATTTTGAACAACTGTGATAATTTGTATTTTTCGCGAGCTTTTTATACCCGCTTGTTGCACACGACACTAATTAAAAAATGCTGACAATGCTGATTATAACATTGAAATCTGACAACAATGGCGCCCAAAATGCTGACGTGGCAGCCTGTTGCTATGGGCTTTTGCACACGGTGCTATTAAAAGTGCTGATTAATATAAAGAAATCTGGCAACAATGACACCCAAAATGCTGACGTGGCAGCCTGTTGCTATGGGCTTTTGCACACGGCGCTATTAAAAGTGCTGATTAAATATAAAGAAATCTGGCAACCATGATGTCAAAATGGCTGACGTGGCTGTTGCTATAGACTTTTGCACACGGCGCTATTAAAAGTGCTGATTATATATAAAGAAATCTGGCAACAATGGTGCCCAAAATGCTGATGCAGCTGTTGCTAAAAATAGTGATATCATTCTTGTAACAACGCAAAATGGTGCCGAAAGTGCTGACAGCGCAAAATGGCGCCTGCAAATTCTAAAAAGTGATGACATAATCTGTAAAATATGTGGTCCCCTCCAATCTCTTGTAACCTGATACACACATTGCAAAAAGTGCTGATGCTGCGCTTTTACAACTGTAAACGTGTGTAATCTGATATCCTCTCCCTCCAAAGTGCTGACGCAGCGTAATCCAATACCCCCTCTTCCCCTCTTCCCCCGCATCCCTCTCATTGCTCCTGAGTTAGAACTCTTCTAGCTATACTACTTTTATTTTATTTTATTTTGATACGACAAATTTTATGTTATTGAGCCCCAACGCCTTGCTTAGGATCTGTTCAGGATTACTAGTAAGAAAGTGAGAATTCGTTCGAAGCTTCGAAAATCGTTGGCCTTTATTTCGCCGCTGTTTGTTTATTCCAAGCGAAGCGGCCTTCAAGTGGTTAGTTTGCGTCCGTATAAGAAATCGCCGAAAAACAAGTAATCGTATTTTTCTAACGCCTAATGCGATTGGCAGCATGTTACCAAGCTCGCGGTGTCGATCGCTGATAGGCAGCTTTTCGGCGGCTAGCGTCGACTACGTGCCGGTTGCTGCATGCCCAGCCAGAGTCCGAGACGAGAGAGCGGCGAGCACGGACGTGCAACGCCAGTGTAACGCGACAAAAGACTTTGTAACGCGAGCGCGAATGAGTTCGATGTCTAGACTGATCGCCGGGAGTGATTTTCAATAAAGAATTGTGAAACCCACGAGGCGTATCATTCATTTTCTAGCGCGAACTGCGTAGCTGCGAACAAGCAATAAAGAACCGGAACAAATAAATATTTTCTTTCTGCTACGGGAAAACGAAGGCTCTCGTACAGGATCTGATTACATTATTAAATAAATTTTTATTTTATTCAATAAGAAAGCCGTTAAATTTTATTTAATTTTTTAATTTTTATCTACATTTAGTTTCATAAAGCTGCAGTCTTCTTTTACAATACATTCTTCTAAATTGATTATAAAGTAAAATAGATTGAATCCAACATTAAAATACATTTTTTATATTTAATTTTTTAGAAGATTACTTTAATCATTGATTTCTTAAAAATTTCAGTTATGATCAGATTTTATGGCTGAGGGATACAAGAAATTTAAATCAATCAATATTGAAGATTGATTTCGTGGATGAAATTTGGCGTTCGAAGTGGGATCCGTTTCAACATCAATATTTATAAAAAAGGAAAACCTGAAGCATTTAAAAATATCTACTGGAGACACCTGGTAAGCATTTGTTCCTACCAAGATTATGCCTTCAAACTATCTGTGATTAATTTTAATATGGATTAATGAGATTGACAATTACACGTCTTAAAATGAAACATTTTTTAATATATTATATATATAAAAAATTCATAAAATTAAATAAGAAAACGTAATTTATTATTTTTATAATATAAAGTAATTTGAATAAAATGTAGAATAAAACAACACATTTGTCTCTAAACCATCTATTATCTTTAAAATGTTAAAATATTTACAAATCTATATTTTATACTTATCGTTTAATTTAAATACACACACACATACACACACACAAACAAACACACGCGCGCGCGCGCGCGCGCGTGCATTTTTGTACGTTTCTTTATAAATTTATGTATTTCTTAATAAGATTAAAATTCCATAATTATCTTTAATTTTTTCAGTGTTACAGTGGCGATAAACTGCGAACAAAAAACTGCGAGCTGTGAACTAATGTGAACACTTTTGGCAATAAACTATTAACCGCGGTTAGACTTTGGGACACAATTAGGATTCCGTTATTGGTAAGTAACTTTTTCATAATTACAATATTTTCGATTATAGATTAGTATGATTAGTTGTTAGTACTAATATGTGTCAGTTATTAAATTATACAAAGTATTTTACTTTTTAATAACTTTGTAATAACTTTCTTAACAATTTTTTAATTTTTAATTTGCTCTTATAATCTTTGTTATTGAACATCAAATTTTTAACATAAAAAGATTAAAATTGGAATAGATTGCAATTTGCATAAGTTTCAATATATAATTTTGTTAATATTATAATATTATATTTTATATTTGTTTATTATTTAAAAAATTTTTTTATTATAGTAATACATCATGCCTAAGGATACCTTCAGTTTTTATCCAAAAGGCGAAAGAATCAATTATTAAATCGCGAATTAAATAAAGTTATTAATTATAATACTTTGCATTTAATTAAATTGGATGAGGCGTCTAGTGCAATGACAAATACAAAAATAACTATGGTTAATAGTGTTGAAACGTCTAAAATTAATGTGGCGGCATACCGCCACACTGCTGCACTGAAGCGGCGTAGTACGCCGCGGCGCCGCTATGCGCCGCAGGCTTTCAGCCGAGTTCTGAGCCTACAGATACACCACCAGGTTGCACAGGCGATGTAAGGCTCTCTCGCGATCGAGAATCGATCAACGCAGTATAAAAGAGCGTCGACGCAAGGTTTTCTTAACTCACTCGCTTCAAGGCGAGCTCTCTACTAGGGCCCTTGAGCTGAGTAATAACTCTGCAGTAGCAGAGCGTAACCAGAGGCTAATTACCTCGCCGTTTTTCTCACAGTGCCTAGAAAGGCACGCAAAAGAAAAACAGAGTCCCAGCTTCAGCCGCACACTTCATCTAAGCGGCCCGCTGACTCACCAGCACCGCCGTCACCCCCACAAACTCTTGCTTGGAAATTAATTCCTCTAGAGTTTTGTGTCCGGCTGACTTGGCCTCCAAGGGATACTCTTGTTACTGGGGACATTCGCATTCGGAGACCTCTCTCTCCTCGGTTCACAGAATACTCTGTTGCGCCGAAAGCCGAGACGATCACATCATCAGACACACCGGAGACTCGATCCGTCGCAATCCAAACCTCGCCGCCTAGGGCGTGCTCGGAGAGCAGTTGCAATACGGAAGACCACTTTCCGAACGGAGTTCTTCCAACACCAGGGAAAAGGTTGCAATGAGCTTCATCAATCGAACCGTCCTTCTTAGGACCCGTTCAGTATACTAATTGTAAGACGCAGCCGGTAATATCTTACCGAGCCCGTCAATTTTTATTCTAACTTCTCGGCCTTACACATTTGCCGAGAAAGCGCCTTTGGCGCAATAAACGCTCAAACATAATATAGCAGAATAACTTGTACATACTTCTCTGACGAAAAAAATAAATTATATATTTTCTAATAAATTGGTTTTCACAATTTTTCACCAGTTCGAACACATCCTAAAGGCATTACGCCCATAATTAACATTTCCCAAGATGGAGACAAAAATAATGAGTTATCAGCACAATTATTGTCAGATACTGAAAATGTACAGCATAACTCTGAATCGCAGGAAAGTTTTTCAATGACAGATAACGAATGCAATAATGATACTACTTTGTAACATGGGTTTAACCCATGTTACTACTCGCGCGATCGGCCGCTACGATCGTTCGCGCATCGAGCCGCCGGCCGCAACACGTCATCGGAATGCGGCCGCCGAGTGGGGCGAGCGGGTATATAAAGCCGTCGCTCCGGCCAGTAGAGACCTTCCCCGGTCTACAGTGAGCACGCTGCAGACCTTCCGAGCTTTCAGGGCGCACTCTGACTCGGCTCTTCCTTTCCTCCAGGAGCAGGGAGCACTCTGTCTCCGCCGGGCGCACTCGGCATCCGTTCACCGTCCCTCTCAAGGCAGGGAGCACTCTGTCTTCGTCGGGAGCACTCGACGTCCCGTATACACCGCCCGTTCCTCCGTAGGATTAAGTATTATTTAGTTCGCGCTTCCTAGTTTATATTTTCTAATTTGTATTCTTTTGGTTATATTAAATAGTTTATCCTTTTCTAGCTTATAGTCTCTAGCTTATATTCTTTTGCGGTAGATTCTGGTTTCACTCTTACGTTACCCGCGTTACTTCTGTACGCTTTCCTCGCGCTCTCGCTTGCACGCCGCACTCGCTTGCTGTAATGGCTACCGCTTGCTCTTAATAATTATTACTTTGTAAATGTATCACCAACTCTTTAGTTAAGAATATATTTATTTTTACCTCCAAATTGGTCTATTTGATTGGAGTCTCCCCGTCTGACCGCTTATCCCGAATCCTGGCACCGGTGAGCTACTCCGCGCTTAGCAATAAG